CCCTCCTCCCTCTCATGCTCTCTGTCTCTCATTCTCTCTCTCGCAAATAAATTAAAAAAAAATCTAAAAAAAAAAAAATTGCTTCATTAAATTCCATTAGTTTGTGTGCCTGCCAAACACCTGTGTTTCCATATTTATTCTTTTGACAGATACTTAGGTCCCTACAGTGTTTCCTGCTTCTGGCTGGGAGCCTCTGTGTGAGTATTTAAATATGGATAGGTTTAAGTTGAGTCCTAAAAGAATTGAGGTGGATGGTGGGTACACAGCCCATGAATAGTGAATGCTTCCCGTGTGTAGCCACTGTGCTAGGCTTTAATGCATCATCTCATTTCATTAGCAAAGCGACTGTATTAGACAGGCATCATCAGCTCCATTTTATACACTGGAAAACAGATTTAGCCATTAACTTACTTGCTCAGGGTTTTATAATTAATAAGTGACAGAGCAGGGATTATACATGGTTCTGCCGAATCCAAAGGCCCTACCTCTTCCCAGTTCATTTTTTTTGTCTCCCGCCCCCCCCACCCGCCAAGCAACTTGTTTTGAGAGGCAGCCAGGATGTATTTATTGTCCACTTTAAGTAGCCACTTGTATAATAGAAACTTTATTCAACCGTATTCAGTCTAGTAGTTGTTTTAATCAATCAAAAGTAAATTATCCATACATACCTTTTGATTTTAATTTAAGACATGTTAAATGTGGGGGCGCCTGGGTGGCTCAGTCGGTTAAGCGTCTGCCTTCAGCTCAGGTCATGATCTCGGGGTCCTGGGATCATCGAGTCCTGCTTCTCTCTCTCTCAAATAGATAAATAAAAATCTTAAAAAAAAACCACCCATGTTAAATGTTTATTCATTTACGAATATTTTGATGTGGGACTGAGGCCTTGTTTTTGACTTCGGGTTCAGTGTTGGAGTAGTTTGTCTTCCCAGTACAAAGTATGCCCGTAAGTGCAGCTTTTGTAATATGAAGTTTGTTTCTTTTTTTTTTTTAAGTATTTAAATAGTCTCTGCATCCAACGTGGGGCTGAACTCACAACCCCGAGATCAAGAGTTGTATGCTTTTCCGACTAAGCCAGGCAGGCACCCCAAAGTTTGTTTCTTTAAAGCAAAGCAAAACCTAAAAAACTCCTAGTAAAGCAGTTTGAATACTCCTATGTTTTTACCACTTTTTCCATCCTTTTATGGTTGCTCAACCACACCTAATTTGACTACAGTTTTTTTTTTTTAAACTGTTCTTTTTTTTTTTTTTTTAAAGATTTTATTTATTTATTTGACAGAGAGAGACACAGCGAGAGAGGGAACACAAGCTGGGGGAGTGGGAGAGGGAGAAGCAGGCTTCCTGCCGAGCAGGGAGCCCGATGTGGGGGTTGCTCCCGTGTCTCTGGGATCATGACCTGAGCCGAAGGCAGACGCTTAACGGCTGCGCCACCCAGGTGCCCCTTGACTACAGTTTTTTTAAGCTTTATCAAATATGTCCGAAGTATTCAACATGGTTTTCACAGATACAGTAACTTACTTTTTGCATTGATTTGATTGGTTTATATGATTTTATTATGTAATTGAAACCGCAAATACAAGGGTCATATACAGGTTTGGAACAAACAATTGATAATTATTAAGGATCTGCTTTAGCCTATGGCAGCAGAAATGGCCAGGTGTTCTGTGAGTGCCATAGAGGAACCTGCTAGCCACACGTGCTTGGCATTTCATGAACATCAAGTTAGTAAGTCCTGTTTGGGATGGGGACTGTCATTTAATCTAGCTGTAGATACAGGTTAGTGTGATTTGATTAAGTAGACATAGTTAGACACAGTTAAGAGAGCATCTACTGTATTATGATGTTCACTGTATGTTGCATTAGCTTTTGTAGCAATCATCCAGAAAATTCTTGGTAAATGCAGCTTTTGCTTTGGAACCCATTCTGGTTCTTGGAGGAAAACAGGAATAGTCACATTATATTTTCCCTAGGCTGATATGCATGTGATGTGGTTCTAGACTGTTCACACTGGTCACCCTAGGTCATTCCTCTCTAAACTGTGATTTCTTTTTTTTTTTTTTAAGATTTTATTTATTTATTTGACAGAGAGAGACACAGAGAGGGAACACAAGCAGGGGGACTCGGAGAGGGAGAAGCAGGTCTCCTGCTGAGCAGGGAGCCTGATGCGGGGCTCGATCCCAGGACCCTGGGATCATGACCTGAGCCGAAGGCAGACGCTTAACACCTGAGCCACCCAGGCGCCCCTAAAGTGTGATTTCTATAATGGTTTCCTCTGATTGGTGCAGCATATAGAAGTACGTTCACAGGTAGATGAACTTTTAGGATAACCAGACCCTAAAGTTGGCTCATTGAAATTAATTCATTAAAACGCTTATCTCTTAGGGTGCCTGGCTGGTTCAGTTGGAAGAGCATGCTACTCTTAATCTAGGGGTAGTGAAGAGATTACTAAAAAAACAAATAAAACCCTCATCTCTTTCCCATAACTTCCCTGATCCCACATCATTCCCATGCCAGATGAACTGGTCCCTCATCTGCTTGCCTATGTATGTTCATAACCAGTAATACTTATCACATGGTAGCTACTTATCTCTTCCTGTGATGTGCTATATATACCAGTTGTATTCGTTTGCTAGGTTTGCCTTTTTTTTTTTTTTTTTTAAGATTTTATTTAGAAATCTCTCTCTCAAGAGAGCATGAGCAGGGGTTGGGGGGGGGGCAGAGGGAGAGGGAGAAGCAGGTTTCCCGCTGAGCAGAGAGCCTAATGTGGGGCTCAATCCCAGGACCTGAGATCGTGACCTGAGCTGAAGGCAGATGCCTAACCCACCAAGCCACCCAGGCGCCCCTTAAGGTTGCCTTAATAAAATATCCTATACTGGTTGGCTGAAACAACAGAAATTTATTTTCTCATAATTCTGAAGGTTAGAAGTTGAAGATCAAGTTGTTGACAGGTTTGGTTTCTTCTGAGGCCTCTCTCCTTGGCTTGTAAATGTCTGCCTTCTCACTATGTCTTCACATGGTCATTTGTCTATCTTCTGTGGCCTAATCTCTCATAAGGACAGCAGTCATATTGGATTAGGGCCTACTCTAATGACCCCATTTTAACTTAATTACTTCTTTAAAGGCCTGTCTCCAAATACAGTAACATTCTTAGATACTGTGGATTGGACTTTGACATATGGGTTTTAGTGGGATATAGTTCATCTCATAATAATACCAGTAATACCTTCCTTCCGTTATGACACTGTTCCTAGTTAACACTGGCAAGATGAAGACACTTGTTTTATTTATTGCCATAGTTCTTCGTTTTGTCCTTTTGTGTATTCATTCAATGTTTTGCTGAAATATTTATTTGAGAGAGAGAGAGCACATGCACTTGCACGCGAGTGGGGGAGGGGCAGAGGGACAGAGAATCTTAAGCAGATTCTGTGCTGAGCGTGGAGCCTGATGCAGGGTTTGATCTCACGGCCCTGAGATCATGACCTCAGCCGAAACCAACAGTCGGATGCTTAGCTGACTGCACCACCCAGGTGCCCCTAACATTTTTATCTTTAGTTATTTAGTTTTATAGTACCATGCTCAGTTATCAGTAGCTGTGGGATGGAATTGATGGTACAGTTAGGAAGCATGAGGCCCAATCTTAGGGGCTTGGCTCTCATTCCTCTTTATGTTCCAGGTGCCTGTTGTGGGGGACTCTTTTACTTTTGTGTTTTGTATGCAAAGAGCTGGCAGGGTAGGGGCACCTGGCTGGCTCAGTTGATGCAGCGTGTGACTCTTGATCTCAGGGTTGTGATTTCAAGTCCCATGGTGGGTGTAGAGATTACTTAAAAGTAAAATCTTAAAAAAACAAACAAACAAAGAGTTGGCACTCTAATGGCATGTGGAACCACCTGAACAGTAGTTGACTTGGTATATTTTCCTGTTTTCCTAGGGCAGTAGCTTGGAAACTTCTAGAAACCTAGTTCCTTCCCTGTAAGGATTCTGATTTGATAGCTCTAAGTGATGTCTAGGATTTTTTTTTTTTTCCTTTTCCTGTTTCTTTAGACAAGCATGCCAGGTGGTGCTGGGAGCTCTCTTATACTACACATTGAGAAACTCCGAGAGCTCAGCATAGACCCCGACACACATGCCTGACCGAATCTTGTACTTGCTGACCATACAGTGTGGTTGTAACCTCGTGGGCGCAGGGAACATGTGCTTTCAGTGTTGCCACTTCTCTCCAGGTCGTCACCCCTCAGCAGAGTGGTGGGAAGATGACTACCTCTCCAGAAAATAAAGGAGAAGAAAAAAAGTTTCTGGCTCCCGTGTTTGCTGAGAAACTGATATCCCCACACAGGAAGGCAGCCACTTGGGCCCCGTTGCCAAAAGACAGGAGTGTTAAGTTCAAGGACCATGAGAAGAGAAATGGGAGCTCTGAGGAGGAAGAAGATAAGAAGGCTGAGTTGGGCCAGGATGAGGAAGGTGATGAATCCTCTTCTGGGGACAGCCTTGCCTGCCATCCCACATCGCTGCCAGAGGGGTTCTGTGAAGCTCCCACCTTGCAGAAAGCTGCCTTGGCAATCCCCGGCTGACTTTTCAGGCATGGCCTCGTGGATGAGGAATCTCAATGGACCTTTGACCTCTACTGTCCACGTGACCAGAATCAGAGTTTTCTATGACTATTATCCACTGATTGTTTCTGTCATGGTGCTTATGAGCCATGCAGGTTAATTGTCCCCCAAACTTAATTGTCAGTGATTTTCTTTTTGTCTTGACAGAGTCTGTGCAACATTTTAAATGATACTGTTTCCGAAGAAGTAATTATTAATATTTTTATTTAAATATAATGGCAGTACATTTCAAATTATTTCAAAATAAGAAGTTAAAGTGGCATTGAATTTTTTCGTTAGGTTGGTGTATTTTAGTCGGATTTATGAGCAGTTTCTCTGGAAGAGCAATTTGTTATTCTCATTCTTAACAAGTCTGTGTGGCAGACTTGTTAGGTGGGTTTTCATTTAGATTCTGAAAAAGATGTGTATTCTACATGGGCCAGAGGGAGAACAGTCCTTCCTATGGGGGCCCGGTGGAGATGAGCAGGACAACAATGGTGATGACAAAGGCTGTGAGGAAGAGGAGGAGGAGGAAGGCCGGAACGACCCAAGTCAGCTCACTTGAGGGGTAGCCCATATCAAGGAATTGGAGTTGTAAGGGAAGGGCAGGGGCTGTGGGATTTCTTTTAGGAACTTGAAGAATGTTCTGATTAATTTATGAATGCTTTTAAAAGTACTCTGATCGGGCGCCTGGGTGGCTCAGTTGGTTAAGCGACTGCCTTCGGCTCAGGTCATGATCCTGGAGTCCCGGGATGGTGTCCTGCATCGGGCTCCCTGCTCGGCGGGGAGTCTGCTTCTCCCTCTGACCCTCCTCCCTCTCATGCTCTCTGTCTCTCATTCTCTCTCTCTCAAATAAATAAATAAAATCTTTAAAAAAAAAAAAAAGTACTCTGACCAGACCGCACCCATAAGTTTTGTGAAGAGTAGGCATTACCATAGGTGTGATATTTGTGGATAGAGTGAAAGCTTCCAATTTACTCATGAGTGGTACAGACAGATCATTAAAAATATAATATACTCTGGCTCTTGCCCACAGAGCCTGCCCCAAAAAACAGCTGATAAACGGAAGAAGGAGATGGCCAAACAGAAGGCTTCCCCTGAAACCAGAAGACAGAAATTGGAAGGTAACTTCTTTGCTGTGTTTTAAAGCACGAGACAAAACATGGAGAATTTCATATTAACGGAATAGGCATCTGCAGTTTTGGAATTTGTGGACACAGTAAAAGCCCAAGTGGTAAACAAGGGGATTTTTACTGCAGTTAGGTGTTACAATATGCCAGAAACTTCAGTGGAATTTTCTTTTAGCGTCATTGTTTCTGCACTGTTTGAGGGTTTTTTTTCGTTTCTTTCTTTTTTTTTTTTACCTTTTTGTATGGCAGCTGAACCACCTGTAACTTTCAAACTGTTTGTTGGAAACCTGAATTTTGACAAAACTGCTGCTGAACTAAAAACAGGTCTCAGTGAATTTTTTGCTAAAAATGATCTCACAGTTGTTAGTGTCAGTTGGCTCGTCCAGGTAAATACCAATAATTTAAGAACATTAAGTTTACCAACCTGGCATTATTATCCCTGGAGAAATTAGGAGTTCCAGTAGCTTTCTATTTTATTGTGGGTTTTGTCTTGTCACATCCTTTTGTTACCTGCTCTATTTTTTTTTAAAGATTTTATTTATTTATTTGACAGAGAGAGAGGCATCACAAGCTGGGGGCAGGGGGCAGAAGGAGAGGGAGAAGCAGGCTCCCGGCCGAGCAGGGAGCCCGATGCGGGACTCGATCCCAAGACCCTGGGATCATGACCTGAGCCAAAGGCGGACGCTTAACCGACTGAGCCACCCAGGCGCCCCTTGTTACCTGCTCTTGAGCCCATGGTGGGGTTTTACCTCAGCCTCTTGCAGTTCACGGTGAGACGGAGAGTATAGTAGACTCATATCCACAGGGATATGTTCTAAGACCCCTGGTGGACGCCTGAAGGCACAGATGGTACTGAATGAACCCTACTTACGCGACGTTGGTTCTTTTACATACATAGCAGTGATAAAGCTGAATTTATAAATTAGCCACCATAATAGATCAACAATAATATAATGAATTAGAACAATTATAACAATATCCTGGAATGGAAGTTACATGAATGTGGTTTCTCTCTCTCAAAGTCGCCCTCCTTGTGATAATGTGAGATGATAAAATGCCTCCAGGATGAGATGACTGAGGTCCACGCTCAGGCGTTGTGACCTCTAGCTAGAGCACTGTTGGCCTCTTGATGCTAGGTCAGAAGGAGGATCATCTGCTTCCAGACCACACAGTTGACTGTGGGTAACTGAAGCCATGGATAAGAGGGGCTCATATATTTAAAAATCCTTCAGTGGTGGGCGCCTGGGTGGCTCAGTTGTTAAGCGTCTGCCTTCTGCTCAGGTCATGATCCCAGCGTCCTGGGATCGAGCCCCACATCGGGCTCTCTGCTCCGCGGGAAGCCTGCTTCTCCCTCTCCCATTCCCCCTGCTTGTGTTCCCTCTCTCGCTGTGTCTCTCTGTCAAATAAATAAATAAAATCTTTAAAAAAAAAAAAAATCCTTCAGTGGCTCTTAGAAAATCCATTAGATGAAACTCTGCTATCCCATTTTTTCCAATTGGAATGTTAAAATAATCCCGAGATTTTCCTTGTTGTTACAGAAACGTATTTTCATGATTTTCCACTGTGAGCAATGTTATTTGCCCAGAATTATTTTAAACCAAGTCACACCTTTAATCACAGCCCCCTAGCTATGGTGGCAAATATAGGTCCTGCATCACTTCTGCTTTTTTGCCAAGTTGCATTTTATCTTTCTCACTTCTTTTGCATCAGAAGCATATTTCCTGGGTGTGAGCATATTTTATAGTACTCAGACTGTCTTAGGTAGGAACAAAAAGATAATAATAATAGTGAACATTCATTGAGCACTCACCGTTCCAGGCATTATTCTTTGTTCCTTATTTATATGAACTCATGGAATCTGGTAAGACAGCCCTGAGTGGTAATTACTGATACTATCCCCATTTCACAAAGAAGATTTAGGCACAGAGAAGTTAAGTAATGTGCCCAGTATCACACAGTTCAAAAATGGCAGAGCTGGGATTTGAGCCCAGAATCTGGCTCCAGAGCCACAGCTTCTGTCACATTGTGCTTACAGGTTGTGTTAACTATATTTTGCATTATTGTTGCATTTGCAGTAAATAAGAATTCCTTTTGCATTAAAAAATCTTTTTGTAATAGCCCTTGGGTTTGCTAACACATTCCTCATTAGGAGTGATATTTTTGTTCCAGTTCACAAATGCAGATGGCTCTTTCTTAAAACAAAAATTCACAACCTTACAATTTCAAGCTTCGTTTTCTATAGCTTTTGTTTAAATTCGGTCAGTCGCTAAATAGAAAAGTAATAAAGATTTCAATAGGTGAATTTGCACCGACTCAGTCCTTGCTCTAGAACAGGGTTCCTCAATTTTGGCACTACTGACACCAGATAATTCTTTGTTTTGGGGACTGCCAAGTGGATTGCAGGCTATGTAACAGCAGGCCTGGATTCTACCCACCCCCACCGCGTTCTAGAAGCACCCTCTAGCCCTTCTCAAACTTGCCTGGGGGTGAGAGCCACTCCTCTCTGGTTACTTTATGGCATTTGTATTGCTAGTTGGTGGAGCCTTGGTTTTAAATTGTAAATGACTCACTGCTGATTTCCACTTTCACATCCAGTATGACTAACCAACCCAAAGTCATATGCCTTTTGATCTTACCTAGGGGTTTTTTTCCTTTTCTTTTACATCTCTGTAGGAAATTCGGTTATGTGAATTTTAAATCTGCTGATGACCAGGGAAAAGCCTTGAAACTTAGTGAGACAAAGGTCCTTGGCTATGAAATTAAATTGAGAAAACCGAAAGGAAAGGAAGTAAAGAAAGATATGCAAACAAGGTAATTTGTTTATAGATACCTGTGTATCTAGACAAACTCTGGGTCAGGAATGAGTCTCGGATTCTTATTCAGTCCAAGTAGTCAGTTACCACCAGGTCACCTCCTTGCCCAGCACAAACTTTGTCTACATTACTCTCACCCTCTGTGCTCAAGCTGGATGGCTCACCTTCCCTGTCATAATGTTCTTTGTCTACCATACTCTCTGTCTTTATGTACCTTACCTTCTCTGTCATAATGTTCTCTCCAGAACTCATTCCCCGGCTACCTACAACCCATCCATAGAATCTCAGCTTAAAGGTCACTTCCTCAAGATCAGAAAAAGTTTCCCTTACTTCCAGACTAGGTTAAGTCTTTTTGGGGTGGGGAGGGGTGGTTAGGGGGGAGTTTCTTTCTTTCTTTTTTTTTCCCCCCTGAGAGAGCGAGAGAGCGTGGAGGGGCAGAGGGAGAAGGAGAGGGAGAATCTTTAAGCAGGCTCCACACTCAGTGTGGAGCCCAACATGGAGCTCAGTCCCACAACCCTGAGATGAGTCGGATGAGTCGGATGCTTAATCGACTGAGACACCCAGGTGCCCCTCTTTTTTTTTTACTTTATTTTAAGTAATCTCTCCATCCAACATGGGGCTCAAACTCAAAACCCCGAGATCAAGAGTCGCATGCTTATCTGTCTGAGCCAGCCACGCGCCCCTAGGTTAAGTCTTTACTGGGTGTTCTCATTTCCCTTTTTACTTTTCTTTTTTGGCACTTACCAGAGTTTGTAAGTATGTGACTTTGCTTACTAGCCTTTTCCCCCAACAAGACCACATTCCTGAGAGTAGACGCCAAGTCTGTATTTTCATGTAGCCTCTAGCACAGGCCGTCGCCCAGATATGTGTTCAAAGATTTGTTAAATGAGGGAATATGTATTGCTATTAACACTCTCCAACTCCTGGAGAAGTATTTTTTCTCCTTTAGAGAACTTTGGATGATTATTAGATCTGAACTCAGACTAAAAATACTCTTTTGTGTTACGTAGGTTGGAATGCCAAAACACTTTTGATCCAGAACCTGTCTCACAGAGTCCCCCAGCATGAGTTAAAAGAAGTGTTTAAGGATGCCTTTCAAATCAGATTGGTGAGCAAGGATGGGATGAGTAAAAGGTGTGTTTTGTACCTATATTGAAAAAGAATATATTTCTGCTGGATTCAGACATAACAGAATTTCATTACATTCTCCTAAATCACTTACACCTGATTTTAGAGAAGGAAAAAGTAGTTATCCAACCTTTCTGCCAGCAGGCATAAAAAGCTGAAGGGGGCATCATAAATGGACAGCCAGAAGCTTCTAGAAAACTATAGTGGTGTCACTGAGAAATGAAGACTTACTCTACGAAGTTCAAGGTTGAGGATTAGAGGAGTTCAGTCATAGGTTATTTCCATTTTTCTCTCTCCAGGGTTGACTCTAGTAAACCAACACGCTTGCTGATTTGCCCGGACAGGGGCAGAACAGAGCATTAAATCGGCCCATTAGAGCTATGTTGTAACAATTAATGAAACACTAGCGCTATGTAGCTAGGCTTTGGTAGAGTAAGAGGGTGAATGTGGTAAAATTAGGAAGGATGGAATGGGATGTATTTTGGAGGAATTTTCTTTTTTTTTTTTAAGATTTTATTTTTAAGTAATCTCTACACCCAAACTCACAACCCCGAGATCAAGAGTTACATGCTCCACTGACTGAACCAGCCAGGGGCCCCTATTTTGAAGGAATTCTTAATGAGGTGCAGCTTGCATATCAGGATTACACATACATTTGAGTGAAAATTGTTGGTATAGGTGAACTCTAAAATAGTCTATATCTGTATATTCTGAAGAACATAATCTCTAGAAAAGAATCCTGCCAATTCAGAAAACAAGTCTGAAAGGATACATCCCGTATTGTCAGCAATTTGCTATTGTCAGTGTTTCTTTTTTTTTTTTTTTAAGATTTTATTCATTTATTTGGCATAGAGAGCAGGAGAGCACAAGCAGTGGGAGTGGCAGAGGGAGAGGGAGAAACAGCCCCCCACCCCGTCAAGCAGGGAGCCCGATGCGGGGCTTGATCCCAGGACCCTGGGATCATGACCTGAGCCAAAGGCAGTCGCTCAACCAACTGAGCCACCCAGGCGCCCCTATCGTCAGTGTTTCCTGTGAGGAGATTTGGGGGCTCTCCTATGCTTGTAGTCAGCAACACTGGAAAACGACAAAACAAAAAATTGCTGCCAAAAGCCATAGAATTTCTCTATTGTTAATTAAGTTTTGATTACATATACTTAAGTCTTTAAATTACTCCTTTACATGAGGTATTATTACAAAGGGGAATTAGGAGATGCCAGGGAATTCATGACGTGTTAAATAAAGCATAATACCTATGTCAGAAGTGAGCGTGGTGCACTCTTCAAGAATATTCTTACTCAACAGATCCTTACTCCATATCTTTCACCAAAGTAAGTTACAGGTCCATGAAAGATTACAATGAAAATATGAAATCATAAAGTACCAGAGGGAGACCTAGAGATTGTTTTGTTTGTTTATTTTTAATAATCTGCAAGAGGGGGAGGCCTGTTAAGTATGACACAAATCCTGGAAGTCCTAAAAGAACAGATAAATTTGACTGCAGAAATACAAAATACATCTACATGGGGAAAAAAAATCCCATAAGCAAAGTTGAAAAACAAGTGACAAACGAGGAAAAAAAAATTCATGATTTCTATCAAAATTGAGGGCTAATTTGCTGATAGATAAAGTGCATCTCACAAATCAGTAAGAAAAAGACCAACAGGGGCACCTGGGTGGTGCATTTGGTTGAACGTCCGACTTTTGGTTTCGGCTCAGGTCGTGATCTTGGGGTTTTGGGATCGAGCCCCATGTCGGGCTCTGAGCTCAGCGTGGAGTCTGCTTGAGATTCTCTCTCTCCCTCTGCCCCTCCCTCCCATGTTCTCTTTGTATCTCTCTCTAAAAGAAATAAGTAAATCTTAAAAAAAAAAGAAAAGAAAAAGACCAACAACCCAGGAAAATATTGGCAAATTATGAACAGGAAGATCACAGAAAAGTAATTTTCTCTTGAACGTAAGAAAAGATACTTAGCCTCACTCATACTAAAAGAATTGTAAATTGGAATGCAATTTTGATTTAGTTTACATACAACATTTTACCTATTAGATGTTAACAATCAAAAGGTGTATTCCATAGTATTGAAGAGGGTTGGAGAAACCGGCATGCTCAGACGTTGTTGGTAGAAGGGAAATTCGTGAAGTCTCTGTGAAGATGAGTTAGTATCTATCAATTATAGTTGCATGTACCATTTTATCCTGCAGTTCCACTCGATCAGAGTGGGTGTAATGAGAAAGGCAGGCAATAGCAAGTGTTGGCAAGGCGATGGGGAAATTGGAACCCCCGTTCATTGCCAGTGGGAATGTAAAATAAAAGAGTGCAGTTGCTTGGGAAACTGGTTTTGGCAGTTTCTCAATGTGTTAAACAGAGTTGCCGTATGGGGCAGCAATTCTGCTGCACGGGGTAAACATAATGAAAACGTATAGCCACACACTTCTACACGCGTGCAAGATTACCTTCATTCATAATAGCCGAAAAGTGGAAACAACCCCAAATGTGCACCAGCTGATGAATGGATAAACAAAGTGTGGTATTTCCTACAAGGTGATATTATCCTGCCATAAAAAGGAATGACGTACTGACACATACTATTACTTGGATGAATCTGGAAAACATTAGGCTAAGTGAAAGACGCCAGACCCAAAAGATTGCATGTTCATATGATCCAATTTATAAGAAATGTCCAGGATAGGCAAGTAGCATGGTAGTTGGGCCAGGGGATGGGAATGAGTTAGAGGGAATGAGGAGTGACTGCCGGTGGTTACTTTGGGAGAGGATAAAAACGTTCTAAAATTAAAGAGCCCTTTTTTTTTTTTAATTTTATTTATTTATTTGACAGAGAGAGACAGTGAGAGAGGGAACACAAGCAGGGGGAATGAGAGAGGGAGAAGCAGGCTTCCCGCGGAGCAGGGAGCCCGATGCGGGGCTCGATCCCAGGACCCTGGGATCATGACCTGAGCCGAAGGCAGATGCTTAACCAACTGAGCCACCCAGGCGCCCCAAAAACGTTCTAAAATTAGATCATGGTGATGATTATAGAAGTCTGTAAACATACTAGAAACCATTATACACTTTTTTTTTTTTAAAGGTTTCATTTTTAAGTAATCTCTGTACCCAGTGTGGGACTTGAACTCACAACCCCGAGATCAAGAGTTGTACGCTCCACCGACTGAGCCAGCCAGGCGCCCCTCATTGTACACGTTAAATAGATGCATTTTATGATATGTAAATTATATCTCAGTCAAGCTTTGAAAAAGAGTGTGTGTATGTGTATGTTTGCTTTTTATATGTATGGCATGTTACCTGTACGGATAGAAATTGGGCAGAAGGCACACTTCACCATATCCTTTTCTAACTTTTGCATTTTGAATCCTGTATGTGTATTACTAATTCAGAAGACAATAAAAGTACTAAATGTTGACTATTCTTTTTTTTTTTTTAAAGATTTTTTTTATTTTTATTATTTATTTGACAGAGAGACACAGCGAGAGAGGGAACACAAGCAGGGGGAGTGGGAGAGGGAGAAGCAGGCTCCCTGCAGAGCGGGGAGCCTGACGCGGGCCTCGATCCCAGGATCCCGGGATCATGACCTGAGCCGAAGGCAGTCGCTTAACTGACTGAGCCACCCAGGCGCCCGAAATGTTGACTATTCTTTCTTCTTCCCCCCCACAATTGTAGGATTGCGTATGTTGACTTCAAGTCACAGGCTGATGCAGAGAGAGCCTTGGACGAGAAGCGAGGAACAAAGATCGGTGGGCTTGCTGTAGTTCTGGGCCATGTTGAAGAGAAAAGCCAAGGCCGAGAAGGGAGAGGTGAGAAGCCCAGCACATGGAGAAGTAAGGGATGCTACAGCTCTGTAGACTGAGACTTGCCAGGGTTATCAGCAGGGTTCCCCAGAGAGGGGCTAGCAGGAGGATAGGGACACTTCCATACAATGTCTGCCTGTATCAGAAATGTGTAAGTCATCCTTCTATTAAGCCAATGACTAGTGTCCTAGTTAACTATAACCATGAAGTCTGCAAAAACATGGCACTTTGAGATCCATCAGCTTAGCTCCCCTTCTTGGGTACCTTCTAGGATTCTGTTTGGACAGGCTCTTAAACCTGTGGTTTCAGAATTCAATATTTAATTCTCTTCAAGTAGAGTTTTTGTCTGGTTTAAATCAGAGACCCCAAACCAGTGTCCCTAAGCTGCCTAATCTGATGGGTAGACTTCGTGGCTTATCTAGTATTCACAGGGAAAAAACCCCACAATTTATTATGAATATTTTTAAGAATCAAGGAGTTTCACATAAAAATCTGGATTTCCAGCTTCTTTTGTTGCGGCCTCAGAGAATCAGTGCCCTGGGGCTGTGTTCCTGCGTGTCTGCGGTCATCTGCACAGGAGAATCAGAGGTTTCTTCTTAGCTGTTCCCCCCAGCCCCCACGATTCGCTCAGTTCTCTCCTACTTTGAAGGAGTGAACAGCACACTTACACTTTGAAAAAATAGTCACTATGTTTCTCTTGCAAAGTAGTACTTTTCTCACCGTAAAGGTGACATTTTAATATTTCTTATGGGTTTGTGTCCTTCAAAAGTGGGAAAACGAAAGCTAGAACAAGAAAGCCACACGTTTCAAGAAAAATGGGAGCGAGCTTATTTCTTTGTGGAGGTCAAGAATGTTCCTACATGTTTAATATGCAAACAAAGTGTGTCTGTGTCGAAGGACTTGGACCTCAGACGCCATTATAAAACAAACCATAGTAGGAATGATGGGTATACTGAAAAGATGCGTGATAAAAAACTTAACAAACTGAAAAAAAGACTGAAATTTCAACACGACTTACTTTTGAACGTGAATAAAATAAATGACGCTGCTATGAAATGCAGTTATATGTTAAGTGAGAAAATTGCCCGGGCATCGAAACCTTTTACAGACGGCGAGTTTATAAAGGAATGTCTGTTGAGTGCAGCGGAGATTATGTGCCCTGAACAGAGACAAGCATTTGCCAATCTGAGACTAAGTGGTAATATTGTTTCACAGCGTGTTGACAGTAGGGCAGTGAATTTACAGGACAAGCTGCAAGAGAAAGCTAAATCATTTGTGGCTTTCTCCATTGCGGCTCATGAAGGGGCTGATGGAGCTAATGCCCCCCAGTTGGCTGTATTTATTCATGGTGTTGATGGCACTTTTGATGTGACGGAAGAACTTTTGGACATGGTTCCCATGACAGGCGCCACGTCAGGAAATGACTTTCTTGTCTGTGTTGAGGAAAGCCTTAAAAAATTTAATGTAGACTGGTCACAATTAGTAAGTGTTAACACAGATGGCAATTCGGCACTGGTTGGTGTTGAACAACTTGTTACAAAACTTAAATCTAAAGTGTCAGGGCTTTGCAAAGACATGGAACTGAAGTCCATGCATGGCCTCATTCTCCAGGAATCACTTTGTGCTAAAAAGTTAAAAATGGATCATGTCATGGACATAGTGATTCACAGCATAACCTGGATCCAGTCACATGGCTCAGACCACAGAAAGTTCAGTGCTTTGTTCAGCGAGTTAGATGCACAGTATGGAAGCCTGTCTTGCTCCATGGGACATAAGTGGCTGAGTCGTGGCATGGTGCTCAGGTGGTTTTTCAAACTGTTGGAAGAAATTGATTTTTTCATGTCTTCTAAAGGAAAATCGGTTCCTCAGCTTACTAGCAAAGATTGGGTCAAAGATTTAGCCTTTTTGGTTGACATTATGACTTACCTAAACACATTGGATATTTCTCTGCAAAGACGCCCACAAGTGGTTACACAGATGTACGATTCAATTTGCTCCTTCCTAAGAAAACTGTGTCTTTGGGAAACTCATTAGGCAAGGAACAATCTGGCCCACTTCCCTAAGCTGAAATTAGTTTCTGAAAATGAAAGAGATGGCCAGAACTATATTTCCCGAATTAAAGAGTTGAAGACTGAATTCCAAAAATGGTACTCTGATTTCAAATTTTATGAAAACGAGCTGACGTTGTTCTGTTCAGTTCACCTTTCTCGATCAACATTAATAACGTGAGCGAAGAGCTACAAATGGAAGTTCTTGAATTGCAGGGAACACCCTACTGAAAACGAAATATGATGGTGTCGGGACCCCAGAATTCTATAAGTATCTTGGGAACAGTTACCCTAAATATAAAAACCACTGTGCAAAGATTCTGTCCATGTTTGGAAGTACGTACGTTTGTGAGCAGCTCTTTTCTGTCATGAAACAACATAAAACTAAATATTGCTCCCAGTTAAAGGACTTGGAGATGAATTCTCTGCCACAGGTTGCTGCACAAGATTCCCAGCCTTGACCTTGGGGCTTAAGAAGGGAATGTCAGGTGTCAGATTTCAAATCTAAGGAGAAAGAAATTATGAGACTTTAAATAATTATTTCTACTTCCAAATTATATTTGTTCAACGTCAAATTTAAAGTGCAATCTCTGGCGTCCTATGTTTGTATTTATCACATATGAAATGAAGTTTGATTATACCTTGGCAGTTTATTTTTCCTGTATTTGGCCTTTCTGCCCTTTAGAGTGATTCAAGTTGATAAACCTCTGCCCTAAAAGCAGCCACGTTTTTCCTAAAGGCACTCATGAGCCAGGGATGTGAACCAGGGAGTGAGCTGGATGAATGGGATGTTTAGATGCCTAGCGCAGCTCTGTCCCCAAAGATGACAGACCTGCCGCTCTGATCTTGGGACTCAGGCCAGTTTAACCCCACCCTCCACCCCCCAACAGAGCGGGGACAGCATAGCCAATACTCACCTCTGGGTTTCTTTGGTGTTTCCATTTTGGATTTACACATTTCTTTGATATTTTAACATTGTTGGTTAGCATTAGAATAAATTGTGGTTGGCCCCAAAACCATTCTGCCTCCTACAGGCAGGGATGGGCATTGTCTTGGCATCAGGGCCACCCCAAGGGGATGCAGAATGAGGCCCATAGCTACCATCAGGGTTTTAAAGAGCTCTGTGACCCAAAAGGTGTTTTTCCACTGTGAAACTGGGACAGGACTCTCACTGTTGCAGAAACTGTATCTTGAAAAATCAGTCCAATTATAGAAGTGATATATACTTATTGTAGAACATTTGGAAACTATAAAGAAATAGAGGGGAAAATCTATAATCTCAACAACCAGAGGTTACCCCTATAAATATTTAGGTATGTTTGTTTCTTTCAATTTCCTATGTATTATTTTATATGGTTGAGTGCATTAAGTCTGGATCATTTTGTAATCTGCTCCCCCCTCCCTCCCTCCCCCACTTAAAGTGAAATCCTGGGGCACCTGGCTGGCACAGTCAGTCGAGCATGCAACTCTTCATCTCCGGGGTTGTAAGTTCGAGCCCCATGTTCAGTGTAGAGATTACTTAAAAAATAAAAAAATAAAATCTTAAAAACAAAAACAGGGGGCGCCTGGGTGGCTCAGTTGGTTAAGCGACTGCCTTCGGCTCAGGTCATGATCCTGGAGTCCCTGGATCGAGTCCCGCCTCGGGCTCCCTGCT